ACTCCAAACTCAGTGAGCAACCAAATAGCTCTCACCTGATGGACTGGTTGGCAGAGGGTCTGGGTGGTGGACGATCTAGTTTGCCAAGGACCTGTCCAGATATGTGCAGTTATATGCAATAAAGGGTGTCTCCCAATGCTTTAAAAATGATGATGGACCTGTTAGCCAACTAGGGTGCACCAGAGAAGAGAGACATGCTCAGTTTTCTGTTCATGTGTCATTCCCTACTCTGTTCCACTATGGTCTCAGTGCTTCATCTTTAAAATAAGAATCAGTAACCCAGCATTATAACTTGGAATCTGGAGGAGGGCTGCTTTCATAGTTGTTCACACTCAGCACCACAGTAACCCCTTCTGTTTGTATACTGCTTATGTACGTCTTCCTGGCCTAATCAGCTCTGCATCTCTGGGTGTGCCTACCTCCAGGACCTACTTAGTACTTTGCAGGAGTAGGTACTCAGTGTTTGGCCAATACTTATTTACAAGGTCAGGCCTCACCTTAGGAGTTTTACATTTCAAGAACCCCTCCTTGCTCCTCTTTGATTCTGTTCTTTAATACACCCCGAGATATCAAAAAACTTTACATTTCCTTTTTCTAATGGTGTCCCAGACACTATAGTGGCACCAGGGTATGTGAGCAGACATACTGGCAGACCTGTTCTATGAAATTTGCACTGTAGCACTAGAGACAGACTTTAGATGTAATTTTCCAGTAAAAGTAAATACTGGATGATTTGTATCCACCATCTGTTTGTATACTGGAAAAATCCTCCCAAAGATGCTCATTTCTATTCTTTAGGAAACACTGCCAGGAATGCAGCAATGATATTTTCCAAGCCTAAATATTGCAACATGCATTCAAATAAGTACACATTTACTTAATAGGCAACAGAATGTAATATTTGAAATTAGGACTGTTCCTTAAAATCCAAAATACATAGCTGTTGAGGCTCAAAGAAGACAAGGAAGATGTGCATTTTAGTCCCCAAGGCTCTACTTTGTGATTGGTCCACCCATATCCTCTGCTCTTTTCTGCTACCTCTCTCTTCCTCCCATGTACTGTCCTAGTCACACTGACCTCCTTTTTGTCCCTTGACCTAGACAAGCTCAGCTCTGTCTCAGATGCTTAGCACTGGTCCTTTCTTCTCTCTAACACCCTCTTCCTTAGATCTTTGCAAGATTCCCCACTTCAATCATGTCTCAGTCCAAATGTGACCTTCTCACAAAGGCTTTCCTCGCTTTCACCTCCAGTATCCCCTGCCCCGTTCACTCTTGATTCTATTAGTCTGTTTTATTTTTTCCTAACATTTACATCTACATGGAAATTGTCTTGAGTCTGTCTCCCCTTCCACCCTGCCCCCTGCTACAATGCAAACTTCATGGGGCAGGTCTTTGACAATTTATCTGCTCCCATATCCCAGCACCTACAGTGGTACAGAGCACAATAGGTACAAAACAAAATTCTGTGGAATTGACAATAAGCACAGTTCTTTGGCCATATGATGCTCCTCTGTCATGTTTCTTTGGCTCTTTGGAGTACAGGACTGGGTGACATGCTCTTTCAAGTTTAAGTCTGTCCAAACATCTATAGGAAACTGCACATTTTATGGGAAAAAACAACAGTAAGAACCTAGTTTTGGTTAGAGGGGAAATAGAAGTCAAAGTTTAGGGGGGAAAGTATAAAAAAAAAGAACTATGTGAAAGAATCTGGTTAAAAGGGGACTTTGGGTGTCACTTTTGGAGTGCTGAAATTGGACAACAGACTTGACTTTGCCGCAAACTCACTATGTGGCTTTGAGCTTCAAATACCACATTTATAAAATGAGGAAAGAGGAAGTCCCTTCAGTCCTTTCCAGTGACCATTCTTTAAAAGGAGAAACCTATAAGGACCTGGTAGAGCTTAGATCTGGAATGTACTCCCAAAGGCTTATACATTAAAGGCAGGTCCCCAGCTTAGTGCTATTGGGAGCTGGTGAAACTTTTAGTAAGTGGAGCTTAGTGACAGTTATTGGATTGTGCTCTTGAAGGGGATAGTAGGCAGCCCTTTCCTCTTCTGTCTTTTGCCCCCTAGCCATGAGTGAACAGCTTTGTTCTCCCACATGCTTCTGCTATGATGTGCTGCTTTTCGTGGGCCCAAACCAAGAAGGACAATCTATTATTGAGCAAAACTTCTAAAACCACGATCCAAAATAAGTTGATTGTCTCAAGTATTTGCTATAGTGATGGAAAGGTGGCTAATGCAGGATCTATAGTAGGAAAGTGTACCCTGTCCTAATTATATTATGAAGCTGCTGTGCAATATTCCCACCAAAAACTGCCCCATAAAATGAGGTCAATAAGGTTTACCTTTGAGAGTTAGCATTAATAATCAAAGGCCAGATATGCAGAGCTGTCTAAGAGATAAGACAGGGCTTCTAAGCTAGCAAGAGAAGACCATAAATAACCACCAGTTTCAACACATTAACATGTTTAAAGAAAAAAAATGTGTCAATTAGAGGTGGGCAGAATGTTCTTTAGCAGGGAAAGAAGGAAAGGCCAGAGGCAAACTGCTGGTTCTATCATCCTTCTAGTATGGCAGAAGGGGAGGGCCTTCCTTCTCAGGGTTGCCCTTGCCTAGGAAAGGCTGACCTCAGCGCACAGAGTAGTCCTGGGGCTGTGGCTGATAAATGTGAGTATTTTCAACAAACTATAGGGTGATGGTTAGGAGTCCAGACTTTTCATAGCTGGTTTCAAATCCTAACTCTGTCATTTATTGCGTGACCTGGGTGGATAATTAAACCCAACTTCTTCACCTGTGAAATGGGAGTGATAATAACAACAAGTGTCCCCCAAGAATTGTCAGGAGGATTAGGTTAACATGTGTTAAGTACTTAGAGCAGGAGCTGTAGTTATAATCCCACTGGCAAAACCATCTCTGACTAACATGTGTGCCTCAGGTCTAATGATATCAGTATTTATCTCCTCTCATTTGGATGCAACTTTCAACAAGCATCATAATTCTTCCCATTCAGGTTTGCTCACAGAAAAAAACGAAACAAAACCCCCAAAACCTGCTTCTCAGAAGTTTTGAGAAAGTGTACCCCAAAGCATGCAATTTCTTACCGTTCATCCATAAAGTCTGGGTGTGCCTGACACTCGTATGTTGCTTGGCCACAGAGGCAAGATGCAGGCAAGCTACTGAAGGAAGACTTCTCATCCAGGGCAGATTGATTTTGATTTCCCAGTTTTCACATTGGCATTCTGGTGGCTGTTTCAGTCTCCATGTTTGGGGACTGGAATATGGATACATAAGCTCTGATTTCACTTAAGAGTGTTGTGTGAATGGAAAGGGTGCAATTGTTCAAAGTACACTGTATCCATGTGTGGAATTATCACAATGAAACCTTTGTATTATTAATGTATGTTAATGTATAATAAACTTTTTTTTTAATAAAAGAGCATGATGTGGAGGTCTTCAGCCTCCCAAGCCAAAAGCCAGAGCTAACTAGTTTTTCTTTCCAATAGTGATGCCAGCTGTGTTAGTTCCCTGTGTGATTCTGCACAGCAGGCAGGACAGAGGAGGGCCTGATTCCCTGGTGTGCTTCACACGAAAGAACAGAGAACTTTTGGAAAACTGGCAGGTTAAAAAATACAGGGAAGGAGGGAGCTGAAAGCAGAAGCATTAGTCCACAGTCTCTCCATGACCTGCAGTGACTCCCGCTTCCCAGGAAAACCTCCAGATGTTTTCATTTCATTCCATGACCCTCCCTGGGATTCATGTGTGTTTTCAGGCAGTCTTGATTAAAAGTGTAAGTAACTCTGGAACCGGTAGAGAACTTCTGATGAGGATACCCATCAATGAGATGATGCAAATGTGTTCTGTAAGATTTCCTTTCTCCTGACACCCTGCTGGGTTGACTTCACCTTCAGGAATCAGCAGATTTATGAGTTTTGTTTGTTTGGGGAGAGAGGAGAGAGGAGTGAGAAAAGAACTGAAGCTTGAAACACCATGAGATCTGCTAAGGGTTGGGGGAGAACTTGGCAAGTCAAGGGCAGGAGAACTTTGGCATGTCCAGCTAAGAACGTGGGGGGAGAGGGGGTTGGGTAAGGGCAATAGTGTTATGTCTGGATTGGCCCTGGAAGGTAACCAAGAATTATTATATTGTTACCTTGGGGAAAAATTATAGTATTGCTTTGTTGAGATCCAAATAAACAATTTGTCAAGGAACTTCAGAGCTACAACCCACTCTGAGTTCTTAAATGGGGGACTTCCTGTGTGAGATCCGGGGAAGAAGGAGAAAGCCCAGGAAGCATCTGCTGTGTGACAGTGGGGGTGAGGAGGACCTTGAGAGTACATCTGGAAGAATGTACTTGTCTTTGGGCTCTGAGGAGACAATCCCCTGTAGAAAATCCGGGCCAGCAGAGGACCCTCTCCAGAGCAGGGTATAAAAGATGTCTTGCATTTAAGGAGAGGTTTAGGGCGCTCGAAATTTGCTGACCTAGGCTTCATTCTGGGTTCTTGGTACAGCTTTTCCTCTTAACTCTGGGACAGCCCAGGGCCTCGGTCTGTATCTAGCTTCCTTCCCAGAAGGCCCTTGAGGAAAGAAGAGATGGACAAAAACTCAACAAATGCAGCGAAGTCTTGGTTGGAGGAAGACCTCGATCTACACATAGCTGAGGATCAGGACCTAGAGACAGTTCTAAGGGCCAAGTTTTAAGGAAAGGGGGCTCAAGAGGATCCAGGGAGGGCACCGGGGCAGGACACACACACTTGGCAAAGGTGAGATGTAGGGGCCCAGGAGAAGGGGGAGTAGAAAAGAAAAGGGGGTTGCAGAGGGTGGAGAGGAGCGGGATCGGAAGACGCTAGGGAAACTGTCCCTGCGGCAACGTGCACTGAGAGGACGGAGACATCGAGGGTCTGGGAGGGCGGAGACTTGTGGCCGCCCAGGCTGCGGCGGCTGAACAGGTGAGCGGTGGCGGCTGGGCGGCCGCTCCCCGCCCTTCCCTGCGAGCGAGAGCGCCTCCTCCTACGGATTCCCCCCGCACTTATGGTCCGCGGCTCCCCTTGGTTTGGGGTTTTGCAACTGGCAGCTGTTTTTTTTTTTTCCCTCCTCCCCTGTCTCGGTCTCTCCTTCTTCTTTTAGGTTGCTCCACCCCGCCCAGGATCAGGGGAGGGGGAACCAGCTTGGCTGCGGCTGCCAACTGGCGCCGAGTGCGTCTGCGAACTCCGGGAGCGGAGCCCCGCGTGCTGCCTGTGCGCTGCAGGGCGCGCTCCTCTCGCTTCCTCCGGACCCCGCGTCCTCCGTCCCCCGCAACCCTTCTCTACTTTTCCCCCCTTTTGCAATCACATGGCATTTTAAGAATGCCGGAAAGATGGCGGTAGCGGCGGCGGCGGTGGCGGCTGCGCCGGCAGGCGGGGGAGGCGGCCGGGCGCAGCGGAGCGGGCTGCTGGAAGTTTTGGTGCGGGATCGTTGGCATAAAGTTCTGGTGAACTTGAGCGAGGACGCCCTGGTTCTGAGCTGCGAGGAGGGAGCTGCGGCGTACAACGGCATCGGGACTGCCACCAATGGCTCGTTCTGCAGGGGTGCCGGAGCCGGGCACCCGGGGACAGGCGGCGCGCAACCCCCGGACTCGCCCGCAGCCGGGGTCCGCACCGCCTTCACCGACCTGCCGGAGCAGGTGCCCGAATCCATCTCCAACCAGAAGCGCGGCGTGAAGGTGCTGAAGCAGGAGCTGGGAGGGCTGGGCATCAGCATCAAGGGGGGCAAGGAGAACAAGATGCCCATCCTCATCAGCAAGATCTTCAAGGGGCTGGCGGCCGACCAGACCCAAGCCCTGTACGTAGGCGATGCCATCCTGTCGGTGAACGGAGCCGACCTGCGGGACGCCACCCACGACGAGGCGGTGCAAGCGCTGAAGCGCGCTGGCAAGGAAGTGATGCTGGAAGGTAAGGAAGGGGTTAAGGTCGGCGTGCACACCATTGCTCACACTCACACTCACGGCCAGCCACGTGCCCTCACCCCCCACCCCAGGGCCTCCGGATGGTGTGTGTGAGGGTGGCGGCGACATGGAGTTTTGACAACTTTTACCCACCTGGGGGCAACTTGTCTCCACCCAGGAGTCCTTTTACAAGCTTTGGTCCATGGAGAGGTATGAAAAGGCCAAGGCGTGTAGGGTTTTCCTGAGAGGATCTTGTGCTGAGTGCATGTTTCATTTTTTTATCTGCGGCTAATCCAAGTTCAGGGCAGGGACTGAGAGGTGGAACAGGAAGTGAAGAGTAGACTTAACATATGCACCCGGCCACGTTGCGAAGCAGGGCCACTGACTAACTGCAACTCTGATAGTTTTCTGCTTTGGCAAAATTTTCCCCATCTTAGAAACCTAGGCAACCCAGCCAGAAAGAGTTCAATCGCAAAGAAACCACAGAGGTGGCAGTGTTTGAATGCTAAACTCAAGCCATCCTTCCCCACTTCGTCGTGCAGATTGGAGAGTGAGTGGGGCTGTGCCCTGGGAGTCTGTCACCAGTTGGGAACAAGGTTGCCAGTTAGGCACAAGTTCACTTCCCCTCCAGGGTGTTTGGCCCTTCAGTCTGGATTCCAGGTTACTCTGGGAGGAGAGCTGGAGAAGTGCTTTTTATGCCTGTTTTTTCCAAAAAGTGTTTTCAGAGTGGTATAGAATCAACTCTGCATTTGTAAACCGTTTGCCTGTGCACGTGAAAAACCTTAGAAACCATCTCTAATTATTGAATGTGGATAGAATGGAAAACATCATTTTGTACCTGTTCAGGACAGGTAGCTATATCAACTGGAGAAGAGCAGCCGATAGCAGGGTAGTGAGAGCTTTCTCCCTTCTCCTAGCTGTGGGGTTTCTTGCTTGATATCTACAATTCTTCTCCTTAGCACTTTGTGCACACTGTGGTTGCCACTAATGTCATGTGACAATCTCATCTCTTTTCTCATCTTCCCCTTAACTACAGATTAGGCTGCGTGTGGGGTGGGGAGGAGGTTCAGTTATGGGTCTCTCTTGAGCTTAGGTACTCAATGACACACATGAGAAGTGAGTGAATAAATGAACTCAGGGCTATCAAAGTAATATTTCAACTGAGCTCTTACAATATGGAGACTGATTTAAGCCCTAAACTAAGGACTTGAGTGAGTTTCCTGGTGCTGCTGTGTGACACTGAGAAAGTTCAAAGTTGGGAAACCAACCAACTTTGCCCGTGTATGCCAGCTGATGCAACTCTATGGTATGTGATGGCCTAGCCTCCTGGCCTGGAATACAAAGAAGGTTTTTTTTCCCCTTATTTGTCTAGAGGATTTGTGATGTCTTCATATTTAATTGCCACCCTGGATCCAGAAAGTGGAAGGCTATTTGCATTAGATTGATGATTAACATAAGTAAAGAGAAAAAGAGTATTCTTGATCAAGTGTGTGATGGTTTGGGCAGCAATGGGCAGGTGGAATCTGGAAGAAGTATAGTTTAGGCTATAAGCTGTGGGGCACCTGCTCAGCTTGTAATAATTACTGAAAATATTGGGGAAGGGGGTATGGACAAAAGACAAACCAGTTTTTAATTTTAGGCACTGTCACTTATTATGCCCTTTCCTTTTTTCTTCTCCTTGGATTCGGTTTAATGAATAATGACTTGGCAAAAAGGTAAAAATATCTCTCACCCAAAAAGAGGAAGAAAAGGTGACTCCCTGTAGTTGAAAATAAACTTAGAAAAAGAAAAAAAGTAATAAATCAAGCAGTTATGTGACTCTCTTGAGAGCAGCTGAAAAGTGGAGTTTGGTAAAAAACCTCTAGCATGACATTCTTAGAACACTGTGTCAGATGTTGCAGGCGAGACATCTGGAGAGGACCTCGGGGCCCTGTGGAGTTGAAACACCTTGGCTTGGTGCCACAATCTTATCCCTAGCTCAATTTTTCAGAACTGGCAGCTAATAAGAGGCTCAAGTGTGGGTCCCACCCAAAACAGCATCTCTTATTCTGAGCCCAACTGTTTGTTGGTCCTTGAATGGTCCTGGATGTAGTCGTAGTGGTCAATACCATCAAGTCAGACATCACAGCCCTCCCTTTTGTAGCTTGGCCTGGTGCAGAGATGCTTAAGCTGAAGAGGATTGTTAGAACCACTTCCAAGGCTTTTTAAAAGCACGCACGCCTATTTCTTCAGGTTTTGAAATGCCGTGTTGATTCCAGAATGTCTACCAAAGAGAGGACTTGGAAATGCAATCTGGCTGGACTAGAGACTAAGGGAGATGTTTAAAGATATAGTCTTATGGAAAATACAGTTTTTACTTAAACTGTTTTTGGTGGTGGTGGTGGTAATTTTTGAGTGTGTGATGGACATTAGTTGAGTACCCAAACAAGCAAATTTGCACCCCATTGCTGGACATACGCCCTCTAGTGGACAATTACTGCCTTTACTGGCGGAACACCCTGCAATGGTGAAAAACCTGATCAAATTCCAATGTCCTTACTGTCCTAGAGTCTACCTGAGAATTTTATAATCTCCCTGAGCGTCAGTGTTTTTATCTGCAAAGTGGGAAAAATAAAACTGCCAGACCTGCTTACTTTACAGGGCTACCCTATAAAAGGGCATTCTGAGGATAAAAGTCATACATCAAATGCCTGTTGGGAGTATCGTTTACAATTTAAATGAAACAAAGATGAAATTGCCCCTTTTCTCCTCTTTTACTGCAGCTTATATTTCTTAATTTGATTATTTTTGTATTAAAACTGTAATGCAGGGGGACCATTCCTTTGGAGACCGCAGGAGTTGAATAGAATCAGGGAAAGAGAGTTGTGACAATAGGGAACATTTCTTGAACTTAATATGTGCCAGGCTTTTTGTGCATTGTTCAGTAACTCCACGAGGCCAGTTGTTGTTCACTTCACTAATGAGGAAATTCAAAGTGTAACAACACTCGGTTATTTGCTTAAAGTGACAGCAACATAGCTCGAAGGCTTCCCTGTCTACCTGGCTTACTTTGCACACTGGTACACTTAACCTTCAGGCAACACTGATGCCCTGAGGGTCTACACGGAACCGTGTACTTGAGACACGGAACTGTGCACATGGCATTGTTCCCCACTGCTTCAATATGCTGAAGGGCCTAAGACAACCGTGAACAGGAAACAGCAATGGTGTGGTACACTCAAAAGGGAGATGGGACAGGAAGGGGCTGAGTCTTCAAAACCTAAATGCTGTCAAAAGGAAGCTGCTAAGATATGGGTCAACTCTACCAAGAGGCAAAGTTGAACACATGGTCAGCAAGGAGACTGTTGTAATTCAGATTTAAATAGTGAAAAACTACCAGATAAGCTGTTGCTTTAAACCGTGTAATCATTAGACTGAAGATCAGAAATGTTCACACTATGAACTCTTTTCTCACCTTAAGGTAGAAAGGGGATGCAAGGGCCTTACATTCAGCTGTGCAGATACTGGGCTCTATAATTCCATGAGACACCATTCAAGTAGACTAGAATGTTCTGAAGTGAGGCAGACACCTGCATAAACACCCTTGGCATCACTGGGATGAGGAGAGAGGGGTTTTTTTGTCCTTACTTATTAGTAAATTAATAATTAGAAATATATCAGCCTTTTTTGTAGCTGAAACAATAATAAAATTAATTCCTGTAATTTTGTTTATATGGAAGAATTTAGAATGTTCTAGAATATTTGTGTTGAAGTGCTGAGGTGGGGGTAGACAGAAGTGTCCCTTGAGTTCTCCTATGGCACTGAACCAAAAAAAGTGGAAACTAAGGAGAAAGTCGAGGACAGTTCTTAACATGGACAGAGTCCATCAGGGCTCCTCTCTCAGCACTGCTTCCAGGAGGGTGCTGAGGTCTTCTGCAGCGACACTTTCACAGTCGTTGTCTCTGGCTGTGGGAATGAAGGTGATGGAGCAGGAAGACAGGGTTTAAGGATTGGAAGAGAATTCAAACTTTAAGGAATCTTATTTTATTTGGGATGTACAGATTCTTAAGGAATACCCCAGAACTCTGAAACCATGAAACTTGGGTTCTTACCTTCTAACAGTTTCACTTTTTATCACTTACTGTATTTCTTTGGACACTGATTTTTTTTTTTTCTTCACTGAAAATCTAGAGTGTAGATTAAGCCATCTCCAAACCTTATTCTATCTTAAATCCTATCAATTCAGATCTAGCACATACTTAAATAAAGTTTGTTTATGCACCTTTAAGTATTGTGAAATGGGTTTCATGAATAATACAGTCTCTCTTTGATTTAAGTTTAAAATCAATAGAATTCCCTATTATTACTATAAACAAATGAAGGAAATTGTTTTTTGAAAAGGATTTCAGTTGATAAATCCTACACTAGAGGTCATAAGGAAGGAATTACATGCTAGCACCTCTAGCTAAGTCACCACTCATGCACAACTGAAGATGGGGAGGAGTGTGGGAGCTAGATAAGTGATTCATTTACAGTGAAAGCACTGTTAAGGACCCCTGCAGGATGTCTAGGACCCATATCTTCCATCTGTGTGAGTATGACCCCTCCCCGTGCTCACTCCATTCCTAAAATACCTCTATATGTTTCTGACCTGCCCCTGGAGAGGGTCTTTTGGTCCTCCACTTTGAGAACCAGTATTTTTTAACAATGCTTATTCTACCTTACCACTACACTGTGCCTAGACTTTCTGAAACTCTATACCTGCAGCAATGGCTAACACTTATACAATATGTTGTACCACACACTGTTCTAAGCACTTCACCTGGGTTAATTCAGATCCTCATGGTAACCCAATACTGTTAATTTCCCTGTTTTGCAATTAAGCATCTTGCCAAAGACACACAGTGAATAAGTGCTGTCAAGCACAGGTCTTACAGTTTTCCATCCTCATAAACAGTCCTAGGAGAAAAAGGAGATTAGGGATGCTTACACAATTTGTTGACTAGGAAAGTAAAATTCCAAGAGGTA